CCCCCCCACACACACACACAAAAAAAAACGGAAGCGTTTCCCAGTTTCTGTTTGTTGGTCTGGACATTTAAGTGTTTTTAGTTTATTTTTCTATTATTTCCTTTCCCATTTCCTTTTCTTTTTCATGACTTTTTTTTTGATTTTATGATTTATTTTACCCAGAACAATGTGTTGAGTGAGGCATTGAGGTCAATAGATTCGTCTTCATATAATGGAGTACAGCAACGTTTTTTAAGAAAAGTATTAAATAATATTTAAAAAAAACTTAAATCAGTGCTCATGTATTTTTTTTGTTTTATTGCAGGGGTTCTCAAACGTTTTGGGTCTGGGGACCCCTTACAAGGGTGAAAAAAAATCCAGAGACCCCCTTAATAAACCCCATGATGTTAATGCAAAGTAAATGACTGTTATTTTAACCCCTAAATGCCATGGTAATAGTATTTTTGTTTGGTTTAGCATGTTTTACTAGTGCATTCCCCATATGATTTTTTTTAAATAAAAACCAAATTAACAATTTCTTGAAATTTTTTGAGGACCCCCAAAAAAACGACTCACGGACCCCTGTTTGAGAACCTCTGTTTTATTGTGTATTTAAATCTGATTAGGATAAATAACATCCAGACTAAGTACGAGATCTTATCGACCACACTGGAGTCTTTTGTGTTTCTTTTTCCCCATCATTTGACTTACAAAATAGGAGCTACTTTGCTAAAAATAAATAAATAAATAAAAATAGATTATTTCTTTGTAATGGCTTCACTCATTATCCCCATGGCTAAAGAAAGAAATTAATCAGCCTTAGTAAACAAAAAAAATAAGTCAGTTTTTTTTTTTAGATGAAAGCCATTTGTGTCAGAGATCATCGTATGTTGAGAGAATGATGTATTTTGGAAATTTGCAAATAATTGGGCACAATCTCATGATATTGTGGGATGTCGGGCTCAGAGGAGGGGTGCCATCAAGAATAAATTGCTGGCACACCTTTTGACAGGCTTATCCTCCTGAGTTCCAAGTTTTAGCTTGGTGTGCTTTTTTATCTAGCTATTTAGGATAAGTAGAACCTCAAAAACATAAAAACAAACACTGTTTCTGAGCATTTAGGAGTAAAAAGTATTTATTTAAAAAGCCCCTGGACGAATATGTTCACTTTATTAATCCACAGTGAGGAGATTCATTCTCTGTTTTCCCCATCATAATACAGTATGTAGAGCTATCTGGGCAGCAGCTGGAGGGTTAAGTGCCTTGCTCAGGGGCCCACAGTGGGGCAAACAATGGTAGTGAGTGACAGGTGTGAATACTTCACCAGTCTGGGCGTTTGAACTTGTGATCTATTCACAGCATTGCCTTTTCTAACCTCTGCACCACTGCTTCCCCATAACGACAGCTGGCCTAAAATTAATGTATTTTATGTGCGTAATAAATTTTATAAACATAAATTTAGGAAGGAAGAAACTTTGTTGTTGCCTCCTGGTCAGGTTGTAGTAAATGAAAATGAGTTCTCAGTTGACTAACCTGGATGACTAAAAGTAAAACAAAAAATGACGTGGGACAAAGTTATTTTTTGCAGTGTAGATGTATCAAACACAAGGTAACCTGCAACAGTTCACAATAAAAATTTAAATGACAAAAGATTTGTGACTTCATAAAACAACTCAAGTGTACACAACATAATCCGATGTTCTTCAGAAACAACAGTAAATTGAAAACATTTAGTACTGACGTGCTTCTGTTGCTCAAAGGTTAGGTTAAAGGGGGCAATCTGATCAGAAACGGAAATGTATAGTTGTGGTTTTGAGGGAGCTGCATTAGTTTTGCTTTCAGTGCAGATCAGCACAGGATGTTGTGGTTTAAACCAGTTTGAATCAGTTACAGGTTGAAGGAAAAACAACAGAGKGTTTCAAAGCATCTGTGTCGATCAGGTCCACTGCAGTCCGTTTGAACACAGCCCTCAATCCTTCACTATCACTTRTCTGAATCCTTGGTACACAAAGAAAAGAAAATAACGAACAGGTTGGTGTTTACACCTTCTCCTGTGGCCCACATCATCAGGTTCAAGCACTTTCGTTTTGACTTTCATATCTGTACTTTTGGGTTTGCATTGAAATTATTCAGATTGTCTGCAGTCTGGAACAGAAACCTGCATCGGTGCACGTGTGTTTCATTKTCTGAACTGTTAGCAAAATATATTAAAATCCACTGGATGGATTTTAATCTAATTTCTGAACATTTGATCAGAAGAGTCCTCATTATTGTTGCCTCCTTGCCAGGTCTTTGTCATAAAAGAGAATGAGTTCTCAGTTGGATGTCTAAAGGTTAAATAAAAATAAATCTGAAGGGACAAAGTATTGTTATTTTTTGAATTACTAGAGATTGCATGTTGTGGGCAAGGACAAATCAAAATGGTTATAACTTCATTTCTCTTCATGAGGTGATCTTAGGCTAAAACTGTCAACTTTATTATAAGGGATGAAATATAAAAAAGTGTAATCTGAAGGATGGTTGAACAAAAGAAAAGCAAATGTCATCGCATTTTCARCARTATGTAAGYATCAGAACWTAAAGGGATAATTCAGATCTTTTGTCATAAACAATCAATATCTTACCTGTTGTAGAACAGATGTTATGTTAACATACTACGCTGAGAACTAACACCAAAATCGTAGCTCTTTCACTAAACATGTACCACTCACATTTTTGTTTTCATTAGGTGCTTTGCTGAAATATTTTTTCTGTGTCTCATGAGGAAGTTGCCACAGCCTCAACAGATGAAGGTATGATGTACAGCAGATACTAATCATCATAGTTGATTAGTGATTGCAGTGTTATACTGTATAAGAATCAAAATTTCAAATATTTTAGATTGTGGGTCATCTGCTGAGAAAATTCAAAATGCCACAGCCTCAACRGATGAAGGTATGTCTTATAACTTGTGTAAATATTCTAGACTGGGTGGCTCCTGTTAAAACCAGACACCTGAAGTCCAGAAGTGTGGTTAAATGATGAAACCAGAACACTCTCAGCCATGGGTGTCAGAAAGTTGAGCGGAGGTGGAGAAAAAGGACAAGCTGCAGGTTTCTTTTGAGATGCTAAAACAGAGCTGGTACTCTTATCAGAAAGCTGTTAGAGCTGCAAAGKGTAAATACTTCTCAGACATCATTGTCTCAAATTCGCACGACCCCCGAATCCTCTTTACTACTCTGAATACAATAAGCCGGCCCGCCTGGAAGCCTCCTCTGCACTATGTGAGGTATTTCTCACCTTTTTTACAGACATCTAAAAGAGATCTTCCATACTCTTTGCCTTTCTGTTCCTAACATCATAAACAGCATCTTAACTTCAGGTATAGTCCCAAAAAGGCAGCTGTGCAGCCCCTACTAAAAAGAAATRRAAAAATCAACTGTATTYACAGTTGAATATTAATGTTTAGGCTTGTTTTGGATCTCATTGTTTCTAAATGAAATTAATGTTTACATTTCTTGAAATATTGGGCTGTAAATGACACATAACCTGCATAATAATAATAATAATAATAACAATAATAATAATAATAATAATAATTGCTTTTCATATCATAATTCTTTTGCATGACTCTGATTAATATATCTTTAGTTGCAAGTGGGATGTGGTGTATACAGGGCCTCAGTTGTCCCTTCTGCCTGGGGCCCCCTTGGTACCTAGAAATGGCTCTGACCACCACAGGGGAAGTGGAATCAGGGGCGTCCCCGACGGACTTGGCGCCGTACCTTCCACGAAGACCTGAAGGCCCTAGATATCAGCCCAGACGAGGCCGAAGTGCTTGCAAGAGATTGACCACAATGGAGAGATCTTGCCGCCCAAYGGAGGAACTAAGTCTAAGTAGATTAGATCTCAGTTCAGAAACAGTGTTTAATTGTGAGTAATTCTGGCTAAGACAAAGTGGAATGATGTCGTCTTAAACAACGTCAATCTCAAAAGCTTTATAGCAATGCTATTTTATAAACTTTTACACATACTGTCATTATAGTATTTACATAGTTATTTGGCAGAATAACTGTCATAACTGGTACTTGTGTGACGTTTCAAGCAACAAAAAAAAATCTTCTGGAAGTTCTACAATAAGTTGCTGCTGCCGTTTGCTCTTGAACAATACCAAAGAATTACACACAGATAATAATTTAGATAAAAGTTTAACAATGACATGAATATTTATTAAACAAGGTTTGCATAAAGTGGTAAGAATGTCCCCTTGATGCCTCTCCAACGAGGTGTCCTTGGGCCAAAACGACTCCCCAAGTCTCGTCGACTGAGGCCCCAAGTTATGGACCCACACAATTTAGCTATTATGTCTGGTGAGAAATAAACAATTCTTTTTCCAAACTGAAGTAATTATTAGAGCTATCTACAACAGGTAAGATACTAATTGCTTGTAACGCTTCCATAGAGCCAAATATTTGAACCATCAGTAGCTGGTGGGGATTATTTTAATGAAGCGTGATACAGTTCTAGTGTTGTCTTTCCTCGAGGTCACCAAGGACAATTTTACATCAAGACACCTAGTAGAAAAATGTACAGTATTTACCAAAATGTCTCATAAACAACTTGACAGATTTTAAGGATCATCATATTTATACAACTGATTCAAGATAGCTCATTTTTAGGGTTTTACCATAACGACTACAACTCAATCATTTCTCAACATAAAGTGATCTTTATGATATAAATTCCTTTTTTTTAGTATTCCAGAATATGAAATGATTTGAAGATGTTTTAGACAAGAAGTTAACACAGCTTAACGTAACACACATT